TCCTCCGCCACCTCCTCCGCCTCCTCCTCTGGCACCTCTGTCGTTGCCTCCGCCACCTCCTCCGCCACCTCCTCCGCCGCCACCACCTCCTCCGCCACCTCCTCCGCCACCTCCTCCGCCACCACCTCCGCCATCACCTCTGTCGTCGTCGTCGCCTCTCTCATCGTCCGTAGGCGCGGGCGTCCCCAATGCAAAGAAATCCTCGTCGTCGCTGGATGAGCTGTCGAACAAGAAGTCTCCCTCGTCCCAACGCTGGCGGGCCTTGCGGATGAAACCATCCGCCCGCTGTCGATGAGTACCAGATGCAGCAGTCCTGCCACCACGCCTCGTCCCTCCGACACCTGCTCGCCCACGCCTCCCACGTCCACCTGCTCCACCCCTACGTCGCCTCCTGTCGGACTCTGCCACCCGGCACATGGCTCCCATGCGGGAAACGATGCGCATCCTCTCTCTGGTGTGAGCCAACTCCTCCTCGGTCACCCTCGCCAGTGCACCACTACCTCTGACGAGCTGCTGGTCCACTGCCACCTCCTCCTCCACCGCCTGCCAGTAATGCACCCAGTTCCCGAAAAAATTGGGTCTGTCAGCAAGAGCATCGTCACACAACGACGGTCTATCAATGAGTCTGAGGTTCCAGTGGCACCGCACGAGCTTCTCGGCCCGAGCAACCTCCAACCTGTTGCGTGACTTCGAATAAATGAAGCTCCATCGAGACCATGCTCTCTCGCATGGTGATGCAGTCGCCCAGATGCAAAGGATCCTACCGGCAAAGATGTCCGTGTGAGGGTACTTCGAACTCTTCGCGGACCAAAAACTGGCAGGGTGGCTGTAGCATGCCAACGATCGCCGCATGTTGACATCATCGAAAGGAGGCTCCTTTGTATGGAACTTGAATACCGCCCCAAGGACCTCCTCGTGCTGCACCGATCCCTCTAAATAGCCGAACTAGACCAGGGCTTCGATCAATCCCTGCTGCACCTCCTCGTCGTCGTTCAACGTCCGGTCTCGGAACTCGAGATCCAGCAACATGGCTGCTGTGTGGGCGGGTGTCCGGAAAATGGTGCGCCGCCTGTCAAACACCTCAAAAATTGTGTCCTGCTGCTCCCGATCGAGATCGCGACACGCAAACAAGCAAGATGCGATCATAACCTCGTAACAACGCAAAATCTTGCTTATCTGACGTGTGTCGCTATCGACTAGCTTCAACATATCCATGATAGGCTCCAACATCTTGCACAAAACTCTCAAATCCTCCCACCATGGAGGAGACCCAATACACGCAGTGACCTCTCCGGCGTCGTTGCGGATCTTGCTTGTCGACGAGACAGTCTCACGCCACCGGTCGTCGCCAACAAGCTGGGTGAGCTCTCCCCGCAGGTCCACAAGCCTCGTCATCATGATGACGTTAGTGCCGAATCGAGTCTCCGCCGGCAGTAAAAGGGTCTTCGTCGAGAAGAACTCCAAAACCTCTCGTACGTGGCCATGGCGCTTGAAGAACCTCGTCACCAACCTCGCCTGCACGATGCGGGTGGCCACCCAATCAATCCCGTCGATGTCCTCGAGAATGAGGTCCATCACATGAGCGACGCATGAAATCCAGAAGATGTGTTTGACGCTCTCGTCCTTCTGGAAAACCTCCATCGCTGCAACGTTTACCCCGGCGGAGTCCATCACGAACGCTGTGATGTCGCTCAAGTCCACGTCCATGGACTTTACCCTCTTCAGCCATGCAGTCGCACGGGCAGTGGCGCCCTTTTTTCCGTGCATGACGTCGGTGGCCACATAAGCTGCCCCCAAATTTGTCCCAACAAGGTAGTTGCACAATGTCTGACCCCTAATGTTGGTCCAACCATCGGTCATGATTGTGCAAACAAAGTCTCTCGCCGTGTCAAGGAGTGGCCGAACACACTTTTGGGCCTCTACATCCAACTCATCCAAAAGGGATGTGCGCACCATGTGGTACGTGGGTACTTTGGGCGTGGGCGCCCCTGGAACCCCCGACGGGATGATCATCGCGAACATGCGTTTGAAGCTTTCAAGCTTAACGCAGTTGAACTCCATCCCACTCTCGATGATGAAGCGCATGATCTGCAAATGCCACGCRTGCTCCAAAGTGTCCGAATAATACGACGTGACGGCCTGTTGGCGAAAGGTGCCACGRCCACGTCCCGTCGTGGCTCGCCCGCCAAGGATCYCGACRTCCAACAACCCACCAGGACTCTCAGGTGCCGCGCTCTRGGCCGCTGCAATGTCGCKCATGCGGTACAAAGGATCCAATGAACCGGTAAGTACAGGTGGAGCAGCTGCAGCAGCATCTGTCGTCGGTGGAAGTGGGGTTGGCGACGAATCAGACACYGGAATGGGRAGCTCAGAAGCACCCAATCCGGGCATTGCCTGTTCCCCAACTCRAGGAAGGRAACTTAGGGAAGCAGGCTGTCGAGCATCTGCAGCCACGCGTGAAGGCTCCGGTCTGCCCGTCGTAGCAATGTGGTCAGCGGCCACACCCTGTGCCACTCGTGACGGTGGAGGCAGCAACCAAGGGTGGTCCGACGGACCACGATCAGTTGTGGTCGGGGCCGCAATACTGGTAGCCCGTGCAGCATGTGGTTGTCTGCCACTGTTAAAAACAGGGGCGAGTGTGCACGGGGCCGCAATAGTGGTAGCCCGTCCAGCCGAAGTGCCAACACCCCCCCCCTACGTGCGACTCTCAACAAAAGCACGTGTGCCGTATTCGTCAAACGCCACACAGCCCCCACCCCCTCGAACAGGAGGGGCCTCATTGGTCGGCACGGACCGACTGACGTGTAAACCACCTGCACCTTGTGTCCCTGTCAGCGGTGCAGACGCTGGAGCTGGTGGACGTGGTGGCTTTCGACGCGGCACTGTAACTCGAATGGTAGGACTGGACGAAGGCACCGTCTCTGAGGGGGCGGTGGCGAAATCAAGGGGCGGCACTGAGTCCTTGGGGTATCGTAGCGGTGGGGACTGGAAGTTCGGATGACCGTGAGATAAGCTCTGCAATGCCTCGATAGTCGATACGAACTCCTTCAAACATTTTGTCATGTCCTTTGACCAGATGGCATACCACACTGCATGAGTGGCCACCTCACATCGGAACTTCTCGCTCTTTGAGAAGTGTTCCTTGGCGGCCTTAGCGCCCCCACACATCGAACGGCCACACAACCTGCACATGCAGCGACGACCACTCTTTCTACCCGCCGCAATGGACCCATCCAAATAACGACCTCGTGAGATGAAATGCCAGATGGGGTCGTCTCTCTTGCCGTAAGTTGTCGGATCAACCTTGAACGGCGAGTCGATACTCTTCGTGTTGTGACCTTGTCTGGCGGCATTGGACGAGTCCGCCGGATCCTTACCATTCTGGGGTGGCATGCTAAAACGTCGGCACTACAAAAAGACGATGTCGTAAACCGGAGAGGAAACAGGTGCAGGAAACAGAATCGGAGAGAGAGCGACAGTAGAATGCAAAGGAACTGCTGAAAATGTAGAATCAGAAACTGCAGATAGAACCTGGACACCAAAGCAAAAACAAAAATTGACACACAACGCAGAAATACACAACAAAACAACAAGAAAAAGAAATCAACAACCTTCAACAATTAAAAACAAACAA